GAATCAGAACAAAGAAAAAAAAAGTCGACGTAAAGCACACGTGAACCAAGTGAACGACGAATGAACAGAAAAGAAAGGCTCGATCCGGTCGCGTCGGCACTCCCGCGGGCGTCCGTCTCAGCTCGTAATCGAACCGCCGGCCTGCACACTCTCTCAAGTACTTCTAGAACGTGCAAAATAAAAACCATCTTTTGTGACTCGCCGATGATTTGAGTGCAAGTCTGGGGGAAGGGTGATAATACCTTCTCTGGGCAAAAATGGGGCAACCATTCATGGGCAGATTTTTTCTTCAAATCTTTCTTCCTCTAACATTTGACAAGGTTTCTTGCTTATAAAACCATTGTAAATACGAAAATACAACTTTCTCACAGAAACAGAAAAAATTACTGACTTCCAAAGAATTTTTGTACAAATAATTAGACTGTTCTGGTCCCATTTTTTGTAAAAAAAGTCAAAAAAACATTATTTTTCGTCTTTTTCGCAGTTTTTAAAATTTCTTTCGGTTTCAGGGATCTCCCTATAATAATAATCAGTATCGAAATATAGTTTTCATCTCGAAAAATCCGAAAAACCAACAGAATTTGATCATTTTTGAGACTACTGGTTGGACGGTCCAAGGAATCTTTTTCGAAAATTGAAAAAGCCTTGTTTTTGTCTTTTTCGATATTTTTAAAACAGTTTCTTGGCCAGAATTTTTCTGCTGAATTCAAAAATGTAACAGTCACCAAAAAATCCGCGAAATGAAAAAAATTATGTCACTTTTATGACCAAAAATGACTGGAGGAAAAAGCAATTTTTGAGAAATGCGAAAAAGTTGAAGCTGAAGCTTTGTCCTGTACAAAAATTTCTGCTGAATCCAAAAACTGGACTCTCATCTTTCATTTCGAGAAAAAAAACTCTGTTAAACCACTTTTTGTTTATAAATTTTAGTTACAGGTCAAATACAGTTTTGAAGGCAATATTTTGAGTTATTTTCTAGTTTTACTACAGTTTTTCTACATAAAATACTCGAAAATTGCCATTTTTGCATTTTTAAAGCTTTGGGAGAGAATTCAGACACGTTTTGTGAGTGCGACACTATTTTTTAAAAGCACCCGACCGAAAAACGAAATCCACAGAATGAGGATTTCGCGCGACGATCTTTTTTTCTAAAGTTTGTCATTTTTGATCCGCGTTTTTCTGTGAGCCACTTGTTTGACCTGACGGTTTCAATACACACGATTTGAAAGTGTTCTGGAAAAGGGGCACGCTTCAAGTGTTCCTTTTTTGAAAAGGAAATCGTTCAATGCGTTTCTTTCCATTTTTCGGAGAAAAATGATAAATTTCTTGAAGTCCGTTTAGCTCTTATAGACACGACATAATGATCGAAAAAAAAAATCAAAATGAACATTTCAAGGAAAAAATTTTAAACAAAGTTTTGTTTAAAACCCTAAAAGCTTTTTGAACTAAAAAAAGGAACCATCTAGAAGTGAAAATCCTTTAAAATTTTTATCTTATGCAAAAATGAAACTAAACTAAGGGACCTACAAAAACGATAAAAATTTCAAAAGTTCAAAAATGTTTCAATCTATGAGTCAATCAATAAATCAAGATCAGATGAATAAATCAAGATCCATCCACGCAAATTTCAAATTTCCCAAGGAACAGATAAAATGGGGGGACAAAATGGAGGTGATTCCAGGGCGGCTCATTAACTACCTTTGTCACCAGCCAACACAAAAACGACCCAAATTTCGCCTTCTTTTCTGTCCGACCTCCTGCTGGTTCTTTGGACCGATTTGCTCCAATTCGAGGCCGATTATCATTTTTAGTAAAGCTGAGACTATCAATTCGAAGAATTTCGCGTGAAAAAAATTTTAAAAAAGGAAAATGTATCGATACAAAAATAAAACCTTAAAAATCCATTTCCAACTTTAAAATATTAGTTCAACAGATGAAGTCAGAACAAAAACCTTCTACAAACTTAGGAAGGCTAGAGTGGTCCCTATAGGGGTAAGGAAAAAAAAATCCCTACAGGGAACAAAAAAGAGCCGCTTATAAGAATAAAGGTTAAGCGGTCCTTTAGGGGTTCAGAGTCTGCCCCCGAAGCCGATAAAGAAGCTCAAGGAGCCCCTATAGGGTCTCTTTTTCCGACGTTGATCAAAAAAAAAATTGCAATCTTCATCCGTTCTTCCACTGTTGATATTTTCCATTCAAAAAACTCTAATTCAATAAGTTTTTGCTCATGAAAACGCTTCTTCTCATAGAGTCTACCAGCATGTCCCCTATAAGGGTCACTATTGCAAGCATTAGGGGAGATTAAGTGGTTCCTAAAGGGAACCTTCAAGGGCTCAAAAGGTTGCCCTTTTAGGGGCCACTCTGGAGTTTCTAAGAGGGTACAATCGCGAAACAGATGAAACGAACGCGGTCAAACGAGATCTGACAAAATGTTGGATATTCAAGGCACGACGACGAGAACCGACCAGGATCAAAAGCGCGGCGGTGGCGCCAATATGAGAAATAAAAAAAAAAGGAGGAACGGCCGCGAGAGCGATGGGCGGTGCAAAACGTATGTCCAATTAACCTACAGTTTATTCAAAACAGTTTGTTATTAAAGGGATATGGAGTAAGGAAAAGGTGTCCTGGCGCGAAAAATGTAATAATTATAGTAGATATATCCCGGAAAAATACTTTTTTTGGCAACCAAAAAAATCAACGACTTATTATAAAGTTCAAGCTGGATTTTTTTAAAATCTGAATTTTGACAGATAAAGATTTCTGAAAATGAATAATTAAGGTAACTTGCAAGCGGACAAAAGAAAAGTTTTTCAGGAAGCGGTTCGCTGAATTCTACTCAAGGACCTCTTATTTCGAAATACAAAAAAAAAACTTTTTTCCAAAGTAAGATGCTTCAAAGTTCACGAAATACATAGAAAAAAAAAGAAAAGGAGGTTTACTTTTTTCGAAATAATTGAAGCCTCATAGCTTGTTTAAAAAATCTATTGATAGTAGAAAAAAACTTTTTACTGTTCTCAGGAGATCCTGAAATACTTTTCCGACAAGCTTTGAAATGGCCTTTCTGAAAAATATCTTGAAAGCTTGATACATCAAAATGGCTATCTCATAGAAAACTACCAACCGCAAATTAGAACTGCCAAATTGAAAAAAAAAAAATTGTAAACTGATATCCTCACGCCAAAGTTACTTTTTCCTCGAAGCTATTCTAAAAACAGGGTCCAGGCTTCCATATTAAGTCAAAACATGTTCCAGGAACCTTTGTTTTCATAGCTTGGATTGATGGGGAAGATCGGAAAGTTAGATTTGAACGCAGTTTGGAAAGACGGCGGTAAACACCGAACAGATATGGCTCTACGATGATGGCAGCTTTTCAAAGTTTGTTCTCAGGGTTCGAAAAGTACCTAATATATATAAAATTAATTTTTTTGAATGATAGCCTTTTTCATATTTTTTTCTAAAAAAAGTCTGTGTTCAAGAAAAAAAGGTCAGAAGTTTTATAGAAGAGGAAAAAGAAAACTCAAAAAGTTCAAATTTTATTCATATTGCATTCAGCCGCTCCAATTAACTTTTTAAAAAAATTTTCTGAACACTCCTCCAAAAATTTAGGATCGAAATTTTTCTGAATATAACTCCCACAACTTTAAATGTCCCATTTAAAAAAATTATTAAAAATTAAAATTTGATGGCGACTTTTTCTAAGAACCAACATATTGAATATACTGAAAACATCGAGAAAAATTCTAAAATCTGCAAAACCAAGACCTTAAGGAACGAATAGCGTGTCCGGAAGGAAACTTTTCACGACTCGTCTATTTGTCTTTCTAGGCCTTAAATGACAGAAAAACGCTGGTGATGATCAAGAAGAAAAGACCAGCTTTTCCGTCTTTTTACAGGCCAATTTTTTTGGTCTCCCAGCGCGCCTCGGTCATTATCTTGTTAGGGTCGTGTTCCTAAGGATTTGCGCTGGTTAAGAAGGAAGATAACGACGCTATTGATATAGTCAGTTCACGTAAATTGGTGGAACGTGGCCTCAAAAAAAGAAGAAGAAGAAGCGCACCTCGGAAAAGGTGCAAACCTTGGGAACGCCGGGACTATGAAATCAGACTAAAAATTGATTTTTCAAGATGGTTTGTACATCAAAATGTAGCCTTTACACCAAATGAGAAGAATCATTAAGAGATGAAAAAAGATGTGATAATCTGAAGACAGCATTCTAGGCATATTGTTACACATCTCTCTGAGATGTTTAGGAGATCATAGGAGAAATTCATCAAGAATTATCGACAGCAAGGAATCTTTGTAATTATTCTGGCCACTCCCAATTTCTATGACCTCAAACTTCTCTCTTATTCTTATAAAAATAGAAAAAAACGAAGAAATATCCTCGAGTCTGAGTGGAGCTTTCAAAAAGTCTGTGATTTCAGAGAGACTTATGATATCTTGTTTTAAATAATTTCAAACACAAAGCCGTTACGTTCTTTTTCAAATCTCAAAGAATAATTGTTTGCTCAAGTTTTTTTCAAACTATTGAAATTCTCTATGTCCTCTCAACTCAAAAAGTGCTTTCCTGAAAAACGTCAGCAAAAAAAAGATTATATGAAATTCAAAAAAATCATACCTCCATTTCTTGATCGAAAGTTAGATTGAACCAGACGACAAGAACTTCGTGAAGAACCTTCTTTGAGCCGTCAATGTGTAAAATGATGGAAAGAAAAGCGCAAATAAAAAAAAGTTGTTCGTAATTTCACAGCAGGAGACAGAAAATTTCGCGATGGCGCGCGATTGGCTCAGCTGAAGCCTTTTTTTCCTTTTTATTTTATATTTCTCGAAAATCTCACATGTCAGGCAGCTTATATTTCTCAAAAACTCACTGTCAGGTAGCTTTTACGATAATAGAACCTTCGTTGAATTGGAAATAAACACAAAATTGGTCAAAAATAAGTTTACCCCAAAAAAAATTCCATAGGGGAAAGGGAAAATCGAGTTTATGAAAATAAAAGTGGTCAGAAACGGGGGAAACGCTGGGTCAAGCGAGTGGAACCGATGTCGGTCACAATTGATAGAAGTGATAATCGGCGATCCTCCGAAACAACTTGGCGATTGGGACAAGAAGAAAAGAAAGCCTGTGGCACTTGTTGCGCAATCAACCCCGCCGATCTGAACCACTCAACTTCATTCATTCATCGCACATATCTCGTTTTTTGCTTTCTTTTCGGTGCCAAAACTGACGGCGGTTCTTGGGACAAACCCGTAGTGAAAGCATCAACAAGTGTTATTCAAGAGCTTGCCTTTTTTGTCAAGAATCGTAGAAGGTAAAGGGTCTCCATTCAAGGCAAACTTCTTGAAGTGATGAACAATAAATCAAAAAAGGTTCCGCCAAATATTTGTAGTAACCACATAAATCTATAGAAAAGGAGGAGAATGGAATGGAAGAAGGGCTGTACGACGAACTGCTTGCCGTCGAAGAATACCTACACGTGCTTAATGGGTCAGAAGCGGCCGTGTTTTCTTGTTTTCTACTGCATCCTTCGTGGATTTCAACAAAGGGTGAGATAGATGGAGATGTAGGAGAAGGATTCAAAACTGAAAAATATTTGATGTACTGAAAAATCCTTCGAGTCCACTAATAAACATTAAAATAAACTTGAAAAATTATTTCAAAGTTTTATTCTTTCAAACTGACTCTGACTTAGATTATCTTGAGATGATTTTTTTAAAATCATCATTTTTTTCTAAAACTAAGGCTTGCCGGATCAATTCAAATTTCATAAATCAAACTGGACTAGCCGACTAAAAACCATCGCAAAAAGGTACATAAAAATCAGGGTTCTAGAAAAAATCAAGAAAGATAAACGAACGGAAAATCGTGCATAATCGTGAGACACTGGATGGATCCCAACGGTCAGACGACGTCCTCATTCAAATTCCCGTCGTCTGGAAGAAAAAACGCTGTTTTTTTTGCACAGGACTCCTTAATTTATTGAAAAAAAAAATCAAAAAAATCAAGAAAGCTGATGATTCTCTGTTTCCATTCCCCACAAAGAGCAAATCAAATCTCAAGAAGTTGGTTGGATGAAAATGAATAGAACTTACAGAAAAATGAAAACTTGGGTCTTTTTTGAGTTACTGAATTTTTAAAAACCACTTGAGGGCCCTTTAAAGTGACACAGACACTAGACTCGAGGCCCTTTGGCTGAAAAACTCACTTTTTTGCGCTAGTTACCCTAATTAACAGCATTTTCAGATAATGGCAGCTATTGGGAAGAAAAGTGCGAAGACGTTCACTTTTTGGGGGTTTCCAAGGGTCATAGGAGTAGCTCAAAAAGGAAGGAAAACGATGAAATTTTTTAAATTTCAGAACAACTCAATGAGGTGGAAAAAAGCAAAAGTAGTGTTTTTGAAAAATTTCTTTACTGGATAAATTTTCAGGCCCCTGCATGCACGTCTTCAAAAATCTGATAGATAAATTCTACAAATTAAATTCAAACATTCTGAAATTTCCGTAAAAAAACGTTTTTAGAAATTTAACTAACCATTTAAAAAAACCCTCTTAAGACCGTATTGTTTAACGTAGATGTTTGAAAAAAAAACACGAACTTATGTATTTCTGTATTTTCTTTTATCAAGGTTTGGAAATTTTGAAACTACGGTATACAAATTTTCCGGATGAACATTTGAAATAATAACTAATTATTTTTTTAATTATTTTTCAATACGTCTTTTGTTTTCATGAATTCAGCCATAGTCGTTTTCTCTAGGCTTGAAAATTTACACTTATTTCGCTCGACAATAAAACATACTTTTTGCTCAAAAAAATTTATCTTGGCAAAAAATTGCAACAAAACCGAGTGGCCGGCGCAAATTTCTGGCCCACACTTTACAGCCATTCTTCCGGAGGCCTCGGCGGTTTTTGCCAAACAACAACAACTACGTGAATTATCGACCTCGTTCGAGCTTCTCGATTTATTGATTGTGTTATTTTTATTTGAAAATACTTTGATTATTTTTTCCTTTCAATTTTTCATTATTAAATTTGGCAAAAATACATAACTTATCGGAAAAAAAATTAAGAAAAGCTGGAAAAATATTATCACCTTGTTCTCATTCTTTTCGATACTATCAGGCGAAGTCGTCCAAGGTCGGGATCAACCTGGGTCATGGTTTTCCAAACTATAATCCTTTTCAAAGTTAGGCCAACATATTTTGAGTTCGTAGAATTTTTTTGTGGGCTTCTAGGAAAAAAAAAGCTGTATTAAAGAGAAAAAAAAACTGAAAAAAATTAAATGAATCGGCTCTAATGAGCAGCTGTTTCGCTTCCACATAGAAAATCAAAAGATCGCTGATCTCTTTTTAGAATCGCTCTTTCGTCTAAAACATATTTGGAGTGAAATATTGGAAAAAAATATAATACCGATTTCATCTCCTAAAATTTTCTATTTTTTCTCAGTGGAGCAAACTCGTTCGGAACAGTACAGCCGCCGTCAACATCTTGAACGAATCGGATTGAAAATTGGTTGTTTTATGACCTCATAAAATGAAACAGCTGCCTCGACTCGGCGCTGCTCTTCGCTACTTTCAGTGTTCCTTTTTTGCTTCAAACTTGTTTTTTTTTTCGGTAACTATGTGGTATATGTTAAACTATTGGAACGAAGGAACATGCAACAGGGCCCACTTCGAGTGATAAATCGTTGACAAAAAAAAAAGGCGAACAACTGGCGCAAATGGCTCCGAGAACGCAACTATCGCTGTTCATTCTGCCGTTTTTCTGGCTATAATTACGGCTCAGATGTTTTCTGAAGTTTGCTCTGAAATTGACTGAAGATACCAGAAGCTTGAATAATAAGCTTCATGAGGGCTGTAGTTCTAACAACAGTTTAATTTGTTCATTTTGACGATACCTCAAGAAGAAAACTTCTGAGTATTGATTTTTAATTGAATTAAGATGGGCGGCTGCTATTAAAATTTTCTCCATTGACAATTCTTTAAATGAAGAAAAAAGGCAAATTAGCCCTCTCTTCTTCCAATAGAATCTCAACAATAACAAGGACCATCCAATTAGAATGGTCCGTCCGTTGTTTCGAGTTTTTGCGAGTGTCGCGGATTACGCACAGCTGTCACCTTATTTCGTATGCCACTTCATCTTGTCATATTTTCTCTTTTTCTTCGTTTTCTTCTTCGATGTTTCTTTGGCTCAAGCTCAAAAGAGTTTTTCTTCATTTCTTAAAAAACAAGCGAAAAGACAAGTTTTTGATTGTGAACATCTTTGACGGTATTTACACAAGAAAGCACTTCAAACGCTTTTCACTACTCGAAGCCTCAACGGTTTAGGTTACACCAAGTTTTTTTTTCACAAAATTGTTTTCTCGGATCTTTTTTTTACCTTGCCATCTGCTAAGAACTTTTTCATGAGTTCATGTCAACTTTTTGTTATTGGAGCGCATTTGAGGCCATCTTTTGAGCGGCCCAGAGCATCAAAAGTTCTTGAAAGTGTGTGGAAGCCTACATTCCCTTTGTTTGTGGTTTCCTATCATTTATCAGTCCTTTCATGGCGCTCAATAAGAGCAATAAAAGAAGAATCTTAATTAAGAGCCAGGTAACTCTTTTAGCAAGCTCCAAAGGTAGGTAAATTTACTTTGCGGTTAGGAATACTCTGAAAATCTGCCAGAAAACTCCTTAGAGTACCAGAAAAGGATTCTGAAAGCTACAAGCTGCACAACTTCTTAGTTTTTGAGAAATGAGAACTCAAAGCCGAAAAAAACTACAAGGTAATTTTTGGAGCTTCAAGTCCTTATTTATGGAAAATTATAAAGTTGTGAAGATTGAGACTTTCAGAATCTCATTTTGGTACATCAAAGAGTGGCCGATTTTCAAGAAATTCCCAACCGCAAAGTGAAATGACCTCCCTTGTAAGGCAACTTTTATCAGTGGCGCAACCTGATTGCCTATTTTTGAGCCGCGTAATCGAAACTCTACTTCAACTTTCATCAATGAAGCCTCCGTAATTAGACGCCGCTCTGAGCATCTACACGTTTCACGGTGTGAATAAGTGAACGAAATCCAATTTTAATGGCGCTTGGCGCGAGCCTGAGCCACATGGAATTGCAATTAGACATTCATCTTAATCCGTCTTTTGCCGCCTCGACTACGGCCGCCGGCCCATCTCTCGTCCCCACACCAAGATCCACACCTTTTCTCGCGCCTCCAGCTTAATTGACCGTTGTGCTCATTCCAGCAGCTTTTGCCTCTGTTTTTTTATGTTGACTTGCCATTGGATTTCGTTTCAAAAAACGTGGTTCCTTGATCAATTTTACAATTTTTCGCTTTATCAATAACTGATTTATTAACTCCCCAGGTAAAAGTTAAGAAGCTTCTGCTTTCGGCTCCTCGGAAGGCGTTTGGAAGCTTTCCAGAAAGTGGTCAAACGTCTTCCACACCTACTCACCTTCAGAAGCCTGCTGAAAGGCTTCTGGCAGTCCTTTTCAATGTTTTACCTTTCCCACTACCTTCTGAACACCTTCTCAAGGTCTTCTCAAGACCTCTAGCTTTTTTTTTCACATTAACTTCTCACCCTTCTTACTTTTATAACGCATTGAATTCTATTCTCCTTACAACCTCCAGCTGGTCACCTTTCCAGGATTTCTCCTAAAGAAAAAATTCGAAGCTTCAGCAAAGTTTTCACACCTTTCCACTTCCGCGACGCTTTTAGAATAGGTGTAGGGCAAAAACAACAAATCTTGACAGTTGGCTGCTAGTAGCACCCTTTGCAACAATTCGCGTTGTTTTTCGAGGAGCCTGAAGGAAAATGCGGCTTGGTATGCCCCGGGATATGATTGATGGGCCAAGCATCATGACACATTAGTGCTTCCGCGCAACTTGAGACCCCCAGTTGCGTCTTTTCAGCTTCATTCATCGTTAAGTTCGTTGTCCAGGTTGTCTTGACCACTGACCAAAGTTACTAGAAATTTAAGCTAAATTCTCAAGATCCTTCTGTACAGATCAGCTTGACCAATCGAAAAGATACTATAGTCGATGTGCCACGACTTGAAATTTCATGGAACGACACTCCGCTGTCCTTGAGGCTCTAGTGCGCGCTGTCGCGAAGCGCCTTGCCTTTGCGAATTTCGGTCGCGCTCTCCATTTTTTCTTTTCTTTTTTTTTCACTTTGTTGACAATGTTTGGCACGAAGAAAACTATTAAAACATAATTAAATTAGCGAAAATTTCAAGAAAAAAAATGGAAAGCGCGACCGAAATTCTCAAAGGCAAGGCGCTTTCACGGCCACAAGGCCACCCAGCGGAGTGTCGTTTCATGAAATTTCAAGTCGTGGCACATCGACTATACAATAAAACTTTTCTTCAAGCTTTTTCTTTCAATTAAGGTTCTAGTTACTTTTTTAAGCCTCATTTTCCGTTTTTCAAAACTTTTCTGCAAGATCTTTGATTCGAAATACGCAGGTATCCAATTCCCAACCTCTCAAAAAAATTTCTTCAATTACGATTAACAAAATCACGAGAAAGACAATTAAAGTACTGCTGACTGATCTCGCTCATGTGAGGGGACTAATTAGATCTGTTGACCGCAAATCAGCAATTATTGACTTAAATGAAACGCATTTCTTCCTGTTAACTTCTAAAAAGAGAAATTTCGATCAGTCCAAAATAAAACTCGTCAAAGAGCTCAACAAAATTTTCGACGCTTCTTTTCTTCCTTCAAAAGTTTCCGCCAAACGTCTTCTTCTGCTGCTTATTTCCACTTGAGCTCGTCCTCGACGCCCGGATTGGATTATATGCGCTTCGTCTGATTTTTCGCTGGTTTCTCGGCCTTGTACTACTTTTTTCGAGGAATAAGTAAACGATAGAGTAAAGCTTCCGGTTTCAAACTTGCTTCGATTAGGCTAAAATTATGCTACACTTCCTATTAATTTTTCAGCTCATTTTTTTATGCGAAATTGATTTCGCCAGATTTCAAAATGTTCAGTTTTTCAAACCCCCCTTTCGAATAACGCCTTCAATCCTTTATACAGTAACCAGGAACATTTTTTTCAAAGAACTCTCCTATCTTTCTATTTATTACCTCGCAAGCTTGTCAACAAGCCATTACACCTCATTACTCGCTAAATTTATCGATGGAGCGCACCTGAGCAATAAAAACAAGCTTCTGCTAATAGAACTACCGAGAGTTGGTTTTATTGGGCTTCAAACACGTCGTTAAGTTTTTTTTTTGTTTTTTGGGAAGATACGATCGGTTTCGACAGTGGAGCTCAGGACTCTGAGGAGAAAAACCCGTTTTCTGAATTTTCATCAAATCCGAGTGGACCTTCAGAGCACTTTTTGAGCTCCACAAATAATTTTGAAATTTTTAAACCATGTCTTTTGAATTTAAACTCGTTTTAAAGCTCAAAGTGCTTTCATAGATAGTTCAAATCTCTAAAATTATTCATCAAGTTTTCTCAGAAAGCCTTTTTTCTCCGCTCTTCATATTCAAATTTCACGATTCTTCGGCACAAAAACCCAGTCTTCCGCGTCTCTAAGTGTAAGATGTGTTGCAGGAGATTTACGACGTGGAAATTCGAACAATTTAGATATGAGGTTTTGTTTCTCTACGCCCTCTACGATCCAAACACTATTCAGACGTCGACAAAATCGTTGCATTTTAACAATGCATCTGTTCTGTTGCGCAAAACGTACGGAGGTGTTTGGAAAGAAAAAAATGTCCGCGCTGAGTTTTCTCGGCATTTTTCAGGATAAAGCCCGTTCAAAAATTATAATTCAGATCAGTTAGCAGTTCAAAGCGAACTTTTTTTCTTCCACTTTACTCTACCAATTGTCTTTTTCATTCAATAAACTGCGACTGTACCATTTTTTCTGATTCAAAAAAAGTTTGCTAGGAACACCATTCTTCAAAACTTGCACCAAGTTTGAAAAAAAAGACACAAAATTCGAAATTCACACTCTCCTTGCACCTGCTCCCTCTAGTTTTTGCCTCGGTTTTTTCTTCCATTCCGTTCTTTTTATGGTCGACCAAGTGCCCATTTTACGCTGCGAGCCATCAGGCTCAACTTAGTTTCCACCCCTCTGCAAACTTTTTTTTTTCCTTTTTCCTTCTCATTCTTTTTTCAACATGCTTTCTTTGCTGTAAATTGACCAAGATTTTGAAGACGTTCCAAAGATTACTCTAAAAGAGCCTAAGGCTTTCTTCAGAGACCTTCTGATTTTAAACGCTTGGAAAATTATTTTAACAGGACAAGAAATCTAGTAACTCTAGCTGTAAACCCTTGAACCGTTTAAACTTCACTATCCCTCAACCTTCATCAACTAACTGACTGTTCTGTAACTTCCACAACGCTATTAACTTTCTTTTCAAAACGGTTTGACTTTAATTTAAAACATTCAGCCATGCCGAACCGTAGTCAAACCGCCTCGGGTCCGGACATAGACGAGAAGCTGGCGATGCTCCACCGAGAGATGGCGTCACTTCGCGTCGAGTGCGACCGACTTCTCAACAAGCACCTCATCGTTGAACACACCTTATCTCAGGTTAGAAGATCAAAAGTTCAAAGTACACGAAAACTATTTCCCTTTAAGATCTAGTTCAGTCAAGTTATTCTCCCTAAACTCAAAAATCATAATGGAAAAAAGCTCTATTTTTCTTAAAACAGAGTTGCTCCCAATGGCCGAACGCCGACACGTCGAGCGCCTACAATACTGGCGGCGAAAGTTGTCGCAGCGTTTCTGTGACACCGGATGGGGCCATTTTGCCAGCGTACTCTAATAGGTACGTTTTTTGAATGAGGAAATGAAAATACTGTGAAATTGTTGAGTGTCCACTCTAGAGTTTTGAAGTTTTAGTGGCCACTGTAGCAATCGATTTAGTGGCCACTTGAGTGGCTGAAATTTAGTGGCCTTTTTAGAAATCTAAGTGGTACTACTAGACCCCTAAAAGACTACTAGAGTGGTCACTAAGACGCAAACTAGTGGTTTCTTAAGAGGTGGTTCTAGTGATTGCTGTGGCAATCGAGTTAGTGGCCATTTAAGGGACTAAAAATTAGAAGCTTTTTTTAGAAGTCTAAACGGTACTACTATGTCACAAAAAACTACTAGAGCGGCCACTAAGACGCAAAATAGTGGTTTAGAGGTGGTTTTACTGGTCACTTTAGTGTCCTCTCGGAGTATTTTTCCTTGGGGAACCTCTTAAGTGCCCCCAGTACATTATGAAAGGCTTTTTTCGACCTAAGATTGCCTCATTGATGAAAAAAAAATACACTTTTTCCAGCTCCACAGTCATCTACGAAGGAAAACCGTGCCAGTCATCTCAGCAGGTGAAACTTTCGCCAAGAGGACTTCATCGGACCGCCGCAATCCCTTCTCCGTCCGTTCAACGACGGGTCCCAACTATAGTTCCGTCATCTCCGCCGACAGTGATTCTGCCTCACGACTCTCCTCTTTCTGGACATCGACCCATTCACAAAAGTTGGTTTTTTCGAGTCTTGAGAACAGTCAAAAGAAGTTGAAAATTCCAAAGTTCAGTCTAGAGAAGTGATACCTAGAGTTCAAATAGTTCAAAATGTACTAACAGAAGTTGAATCTGCGTTCATCTACTCAATTTATAGATACCGACTTGAAACGATTATTTAAAGGATATGCTGTTCAAATTACATCAATAGCAAGTCCATCTTCCTAAGTAGTTCATTGAAATCCCCTTTTTTCCAGCCACAGCCTTAAACGAGTCCCCAAAGCTACCGACCTCAACCAGTCAAGCTAGCATGGTGACGTCATCGACCTCACCTAAGTCTACGATTCGTTTCGCACCAAAAGCCATTTTCAACGCGTTCCGTGGCGCGAGCATGCGGAAACTGTCAATTTCCAAAAATATTCCGACCTCTAAGCGAAAGGAAGTCGTCGAAGACGTTGTTCAGCCACAGACGAGCAACTACGACGCAGCCTCGGAATACGCAAAGCGGTTTCGGTCAGTCATTTCTGAAAACAAAAATTAATCCTGTATTCATGAATGAAGTCAGTGGAAAAAATTAGGAACTTTGTTACAAACTAAAAAAATGCGAAAAATACAGACTCTCGGCTGAATAATCCTTGAAGCAACCTTTTTAGAATTCCCTCTTATTCGATTGTTATGAAAGAAGAGAGGACACCAAAGCCGGAGAGCAGAATTTCAATGCCGCAGTTCGTTTTATTTTAATTTTTCATAAGATCAACATTCCCTCTTAAGTTTCTTTCGTTCGACAAAACCACGCGATAAACTTTACCACTTTGCGAAGCCGGAAGAAGAAATCGAAGAGGTCGTGGATGAGGAGAAAACTGGACTGGGGCCGGATGGCGGGACAGTTCATTACAAGTGGAAGGTTTGATAGGAAATTACAAAATTTGAGTTATATTTTCGGAGAAAAAAAAACGTAAATATACACGGAGAGCCAAAAAGTGAGCGGTGGCGCGCACTAGAGCGGAGTAAACATTTTTTTCATTTTTTTCATTTTGTTATTTTTCTTCAAATTATCTTTCTTCATAACTGTTAGCTTAATAAGTTAAATCCGACTTTGCTAAAAAAATAATAGTTAAATTTATCTTCGAAGTTTGACTGTATAAATAAATTATTAAAAAAGTGAAAGAAATAAACGGAGAAACTGTCTTTTTTCGTTCGAATAATCAATCTTTTTTTTACAGTTAAAGAAACGGTGCGATGGTTCACGATACGTTGTCCGACGACCGATTCGGAATCAAATCCTCAAAAAACGAGAGGCTCAATTGTCCAGAGAACGGGCCCCCATCAGCACTGATGACGACGCAATGAGCGAACTTAAGGTAAATTATTGTTTCTTGATAGATTGAGGAAATCCAAATTAAGTTGGGAAAGTTCCACTCCCGGGAAGAACGACGAAAGCAGCTGGAGCGGGAGCGGATGAAGAAAATGCTCAAGTTGCAGCAGAAAATGAACGACAAGAAGCCGTCGGATCAGGTTTTTTACAAGTTTCTTTGGATAGTTATCACTCGGGCAAAGTCGGAATGGTGGATAATGGCTGCTAAAAGGGAGAGGCTCAAAAAAGGCCGCAGAAAGGCAGCAAAAAGGCAGCGAGTGGCAGCAAAAAGGCAGCGAAAGGCAGCAAAGAGACTCCCTTAAACGAGCCTTCCATTTTTCTGGGATTTTAAAGGCTCGAGAAATGGTGGAGAAAGGGAGAGGCAGCAAAAATGGTGCATAAGGGCTGAGAAAATGGAGCAAAAAGGCAGCAAAAAGAGAGCCTTCATCGCCCTAAAAGGAACATTTCTATGGTCCTTTATGGACCCTCGGAGGGTCCTTCCGACTTTGCCTATGCAGGTTATAGAGGCCTTAGAAGTTTTGCCAGAATTTTTGAGAAGCTACGATAATTTTTTTAAACTTATACTTTACTATTTTAAGGTTTTGAAGACTCGCAAACAATTTCAGTTTAATATTTGGGAGGTTCTTTTACTTTCAATTTTTGTTCCAAAATTTTCAGACGATTGTGCAGTTGTCGCAGCAGAAAATGGCTCGTCAAAAGGACAAAATGGTGTTGGACGAATTTGTAACGACCCGCGAAGTTTTGTCGCATCGAACTGATGCCAACGGGATTCGTGGGGTTGTCTCCGTCACCACCGTCTAAATTTTCATGTTCGAAGACTTTTTCGAGACTGATAAAGCCCGTTCAGATTTTGAATGTCAAGTAGGATGACGTCATTTGAAAACGCTCTGTAAATGGCTCGCTCTCCGATTGGTTTATCACGCCATTAGAGGGCGGAGCTTGAGCGAGGACTTGACATTTGAAATCTGAACAGACTATAGAATCGATTTTGAATTGTCCTTTTTTCTCGAGTAGATTCTTAAATTCAGGATGTTGAGAAACTTTTTTGCCCAACTGGACGATTTTTTTTTTGATCTTTCTCATTCAATCTTTTTTTTTCTCATTCTTTCTTTTTCTGAAGTCCATTGCGAATGAATTTTCAGAGCGGATTTGAAATTCGAATCGCTTTCAATGTTTCTACCTTTTCACTGAGCATATCTTTCGTGTGTACCGTTTACGGATAACTCAAATTTTTTTCAATAAATTTTATTATTTTTTTGCGAAAAAAACAATAAGTTTATGAAAAGGGGGAGGTCACCTAATAGAGTATCACAATGAAATTACTCGTATGACGAAAATTTCGGGACTTTTTTGGTGATGAAATGGGCTGACTAGGGGGAGAAAGGTCGAAAAATGGAATTTTGCAAGTCGAAATTTTACAAAAGTGGAAAAGGGTCATAGTAAAACGATATTGAAAGGGGATGGCATCAAAATTACGGAGCTTCTGAAGTAAAAATTGGATATCAAAGTGGATTTAAAAGCGTAAGGCACTGGAAATCAAAAAAGAGAGCTTCTAGGAAACTGAAACAATGAAAGCTTGTCCCTTTAATAAGGGGTATTAAACGGGAATGGAAACATTAAAGGCGCAGGTGGGAAACTGGGAGAATGCTCAATGTCGAACGAAGTCGACGAGCGACTTCCAGGCGCTTCGGAGGCCTTTCTTCTCGACTGGAGCCGCGCTCAGGATCCCGCAGAATTTGGACGTGACGTCACGAAACGCCTCAGCCGAGACATCTCTGATGGCGCGAAGGCGTACTTCCATGTTCTTTGCTGTAATCGGTGGATTATTTTTTGATAGGATACGCAATGAAGTTAGATTTAAATCAAGCTGATTCTGGCTTTAGTCATCGAAAAATGGGTCCTGACACGATAAAAAAGAGACAGTGCCTGGTTGGGAGAGAGCGCAGACAGGCCAAAGCTGGGGGAAAAAACGAACCGAAAGCATTGAGTTGTCGCTCGAAAAGCGCCTCGTCGATGACGGAGAACGGTTCGTGGGGGTCCAGGCGCAGCAACGTCTCCAGCTTCTTCTGAGTCTTCGTCAGTCGTCTGCCGTTGAGCTGTCGCACTTCGCACAGAACGCTTTTCATCAGGAACACTAAAAATTGTTGAATTTACATAATCATTATCCCAAAAACCAACCATAAGCATCCGTGAACTGCGGCTTTCTGGGAATGTTGCCGTACTCGTGCTCGTCGATCTTGTTCGCCAAAATGAGCTCTTTTTCGCGGCATTCCACGCAGCAAGGATGTTGGCGATCCAATCGAGAGTGGGAAGAGGATCGGGAATGGTGACGGAATGGACGAGCTGAAATACGGTATCAGTTGAGATCCAGTGAGGATACTGTATCGGGTTACCTGCGTTGATTACGGTAGTGACTGAAGAGCTACTGCTGCCGCTGGAGGAGAATTCGCCGTCGGAGCGAGCATGGCGGCGTGGGCGCAGGTTCTTTCGGTAACTGTAATTTTTTTGGGGTTACGGTGGGATATTCTAGAAAATTATTGAAAAAGCCTGGGATACTTTAAAAAAACTTTGAAAAGCTTCATTTGATGTGTAAGACTAGAAAAATGAGTTGGAAGAATCAAGAATCATCTTGTCGGCAAAGTCAAATGTGAGAATGAGAAGAAAAACACACCGGCGGGTTAGCTGTCCTTCAGGGTCGCTGTGGGAAGTGCGAGCCGAGTCGCCGCTGTGATTGCGGTGCTTGGGAGACGGCTCAGGAGAGTTGATGACCGCGTAGACGTGAGTCTCCGTGTCCTTCTCCTGAGAGTCCATGAAAGCGGTCATGTACATCATCATGATGATTAGAGCAAGTTCTGAAAAGGAAAACTTTGAATGGTAAGGCTTGTAGATTGAAGCGATTAGATGATATTAGGAGAGCGTATTCCTCAAGAAGTCGAAAAAGAAAAAAGCGGCTAGCTAAAAAGGAAATCCAAAAAAGTTGCAGAAAATTGGAATTTTTCTATTTCAGGATAAAAGGAACTCAAGACGCTGCTTATTAAATTAGAATTAGATTTGATGAAAAAAATATCTTCAAAAAAGTGAGCTAAATAACTCAATTCATAATGTATCAATAATTTTAGAAACCAGGAAAAGGGAGAAACAACAATGAAAGAGGAAAAAGCTGTTCTGAACAACCCGAACCAATTAAAGAATTAGATCTCGATCGGAATCCAAATCTAGTAATTGGTGTAGAGCTGAGCGGAACAAGATAAGACCGGGGAATGGAGAAGGAAAAAGGGAAAAGGCCGCAGTCCGCCGAGCCGACCGGAGAGCCGAATGAGGTTCCCAGAGTTGGGCGGCACGTGCAAGTTGGGACTTGGGAGACTCCGCCCACCGGATCGGAAATTGACACTCGGGCGCGTGGCCAATTCACACCAATTATCGCGTGTTTGTCAACAAAACTTGTTTGTTGGCGATACTTTGATTGATGGAGAACTGTGAACTTGTGCTACTGGCCCAGGGCAACATGCTCCAGGCTTTTTTCAATTAACGTTATATGTTTTTACACTTTTTCGCATCTTTCTAGGCCTAACACTATTCAAATTTTTGTTTGATTTGGCTCGGTTCTGTATCCTATTCGAAAAGACAATTTTTATTTGCTATTTTTTTATTTGACTCTGCAAGGATTGATTTATTATTTACTTTATTATTTAAAAAAACGCCTTCATTGAACAAATTAATAGATAAAAAAACAAAATAGACGTAACTTAAAAATTATTTCTTTCCCTCAGTTCAGCTAAAATTTTTTTACAATTTAAATTCAAGAAAAAAACCATTTTTTTCAAAAAGTTCTTCTATTCATGAATTTATTTACTTTCGTTCAACCTTTTCTTTACCGAAACGTATATTTAGTTATAATCTTTGAAAAAAATAATTTTTCCGTATAGTTATAAACATTTGTTCAGAACAATTATGATGGAAAAATTTACAAAAAAACTCACTTTAGTTCCAAGATGAAAATCGAAAAACATCTCCTTTCTGTAGCGGTTTTCTTTCTTTATAAACATTTTTTTCTTCGGATTCCTCATTTCTGAAACACAAATTTTCATTCATCACAAAAATAGACGCCGCGAGAAATTTCAAACGAAGAATTCACAATAGAAATATGAACATTTTTCGAACCTCTCAACGCGTCAATTTCCGCTTCAACCGACGAACCAATAACACAAAAAAATCTTCGGTTAAACTCCATCGTAAAACCAAAAAAAACAGCAATTTAAAAATTTTTTTATTAAAAATTTTTTTGCAAAAAAATTAAATCCCGTCAATTAAGATGCTTTTGGTGCAGGCCAATGACGGAAATTCGCATAATGTCTCCGTAAAAAAACTTTTTATTATGAACATTTTACATACAAAACAGGCAGACTTTGAAATGAAAAACTATTTACAAATATGCGGCAAAAAAGAGATTAGTTAATGCAATCTGTTGATTGTCCGTCAAAGTTGTTGGCGAGGTTCAACGTTCCAATGTCATAGGTCATTCGCGGGTGCTTTCCAGCGGAAATGAACTGGTCGGGGATCGTGATGCCGAACTTCTTGACGCATGGCTAAAAAATTGTCTTGAAAATTGAATCTAACAATTATCGCACGGATCGGTACCGCTTCTTTTCAATAAAGTAGGCTCAGATTTTTACCGTAGGCTGGGTTTCGGAAAGTTCAAAGTTTTTTTTTTCTGTGACTCACTCCGTTGTAGTTGCACTTGTGGTAGATGTTGAGTTTGGGGTCGATGTTGGTGATTTCGCGGCCGTCGCCAGCAATGATGAAGGTGCCGTCGGGACCCGAGTAGCTCTCCTTCATCAGCGTGTCCCAGACTGAAATATTATTCTTCTAAGCTTGGACATGTCTCTTTAGGTTTCAAGTGGTTTCAGCTTGCTTTTTTGAAAATAGTTTACTTCTCAATATCCGAAAACTCACGAATATCCTTCTCATAGAGCTTGAGCCGGACTTCTCCGGCCGGGTAGCCGTTGCAGATGAGCCTGCCGCTGACGGCGATCGACTGTTGCCGTCCGATGCCCAGGAAAGCCGTGGCGACTCCGAGAAGAACCAGGAGGACCACTAGTACACGCATCATTTTCTGAAAGACGTGTCTCAACTTCATGCTTCTTCAGATACAAGAGAAGATCCAAAGAAAAAAAAAACAAAAAAAGCTCGACTTTTATTTGAGATACACAAGAGAATATTCTGAAGGCAACCTCCACTCCTGCGTCAGTTTTATACGAATCTGAGCGGCCTCAATTTTCTTTTCTATTCTTGTTTTCCATTTCAGAAAAAATGTTCTGTGAGTCAGCGCAAACAATGCGTAACCTTTACAAGGAAGAGGAAAAACTTTGAGGTTTTAGACGAGTTCGCCAAATTTCGGCCATTTTCCTCCCATTTCGGAGGGAATAGAACTCCAATCACATGGAATGACTCTGAATTCTGTATAAGTAGCCATATTTGGGTAAGTATCAAGAGAAGGCGGACTGTATTGAAGCTTATGATATCAATGATTGAACTTTTGTACTTTATACAGTATGCAAGTTCAAAAAAAACTTATTCTCGCACAGGAATTTTAAAGATTTTCAGGTTTTCCTTGACTAGATTCTCAAAATAAAGTTTATTGAAAAATGGAAATTTTTTTGACGTACTAAACTTCGATTTTACGGTATCAGAGCTTTGATGAATGTAATTTGGATCAGAAAATTACCAAAAAGATGAAAAAATAAGTTTAAGAAACTACGAGAAGACGTCGAGATCGACGCCGTTTTAAAGGCGACGTCGCCAAGTCGGTCAATGGTGCTGTTGTTGTTTGTGCGGTGGACAATGTTTTCTACCCTTTGGATGACGTGTTTTCACGGTTTTCTTCTGTGAGGTTATTGAAATTCTTACCGAAAGTTCACGGCGAAACCAGATGTTTGCGCTTCGGAATCGAGTTGAGACAAAAGGAAGACTTTGAAACTATCAACAACGGGAACCGCTAGACTGGGTTTTCTCAATGGACGATTTAAAATATATACATAATTTTACTCACAACCTTTATTTTCTTCGAATTTTCTCGAAGAGTTTTCAATTAAGGTTACTGACAACGAAGGTCATTTCCCTTTTCGCTTGGGAATTTCCTGAAAATTGGCCAGAACACTCCTTGATGTACCAGATGAAGGTCCTGAAAATCATAGCTTCCTCGTTTTTGAGAACGGGCGCCTCAAAGTCAAAAAATGCCGTGAAAATAGGTCATTTTGGGGTTTTTGATCCCTCATTTCTCGAAATCTAGGAAGTTGTTCAAGTTGAGACTTTCAAGATCTTTTCCTGGTACATCAAGGATTTTTCTGGCTAATTTTTTAGAAAATTCCCAACCCTTACAGAACTTCATTGAAGGGAAAAGTGTGTCCTTCTGATAAATCCTATCTAAACAATCGACAAAAATTCCATTATTCAAAACTCCCTCAAAAGACCTGTCGGCTCAAATCATACTACAATATTTGAAAATATGTCCCACTGAACACTTTTCCACAAAAAGTGAGAGAAAAGTGACCAAAAGATAAAAATTCAAATGTTTCCTCCTTCACTTCAAAATCGCATTTCAGTGAACTCTCATAATCGGTTAGTTCATGATCATGAATATTCATGTGTTAATCGGACGGCTTTTGTGAGGGTGAGTGGCCCCATTTCGGAATGTTTTGACAGGAAAACAAGCAGGCTCGAAAATAGAAATTCCCATGCAAATATTTTAGAGAAACACGGATTCGGTTCAAAAAAGCACGTAGAATCAAAATATTGTTCCATGATCACTGTAATAGCCTCTTATGGAATTTTGAAAATAAAAAGTTTAGGAACCCTACAAGGACCTAAAGCTTTACACACTGTCTCTGTAACTGTCAAAAACAACGGGTACAAAAAAAAATTTATTTTTTGATTTTGATGAAACTTCATCCAGTGTGATAAACTATCATCAGAAGCGCGGTCGCAACTTTTTGAGCCATTTCCTCTTACTGTAGCCGGGTAACGGTAGGCAGGTGGGAAAATTACAGAGACGGCGTGTTAAGAACCTAGTGGGCCCCAAACAATTGACCCATATAGGGGTCCCTAAAACAACTAAACCCTGTAGTTACCCCTCAGAAGTTCCTCAGTATAAAAGTGTTGACCTGACTGAAAAGTTTATTCAGCTTTTGTAAGTCTTTCTAGCGCTACATTTTTCCTGCGTTTCAAAATCAAAGAAAGATATTGTCAAAAAATAGAGGGATAAATTTTTTTGTTGGTCTTTAAAGTGTCCGCTCAATTATTGACACAACTAATTCTCAGAGCGCCGACAAGTCTAACCTTCGACCATGCCGTCATTTACAAACAAGAACTATCCCTCAAAATTAAAAATAGTCCGTAATTCCTAAACTTTTTAAAGAATTTGGAATGATATTAAGAATTTTTTTGAAAAAGTGTTTTTTTGTGGGTTTCCATAGTATTTTTCATATAAGCAGTAAGGAAAAAAATAAATTTTTATTAAAATTATAAAATGCCCCTCGAGTAATTGCCAGACCACTTCTCGAAGCACCCATAAATCCCTGATTTTTCAGTAAATTTCAAAAGATTTCGTGAAAATTTGAAAAAGCTCTTGTAAGCTCACGTGGTGGTTTCATATAAGCAGTATGAAAAACTTGAATTTGTTCCGATAACCTAAAGTGCCCGCCCCCGGTTCAATGGTAGACCACTTCTCGAAGCACCCATAAATCCCTGATTTTTTTCAGTAAATTTCAAAAGAATTTTTTGTAAGTTCACGTCGTAGTTTCATATAAAAAAATATGAAAGACATGAATTTATTTCAAAAATCTAAAAGTACCCCCCGGTGTGATTGCTAGCCCACTTCTCGAAGCTCCCAAAAGCCTAACCTTCGACCCTGCCGTCATCCACAAACAAAGGACATCACTCAGAATCAAAAATAGTCTGAAAACCATAACTTTCACAATTTTGAACAAGATCCACAAATACTGTGCGCACTTTGCAGACCCCCCGCCACACGTGCTAATCCGCCGCCCCCGCCTAACACCACCAAAAAACGTGTGTCTCTGTGTGTGTGTAGGACCGCGGACATTTGGGAGGCGGAGCCTAGCGAGAGAAGAATATAGGAAGTTTTTCAGGAAGTCCTTCATGTTCCCGCTATTGTCTGTTTGTTGGGCTCGGTACCGTAACCGAAAAAAAGAGCTGCTGATTTTTGTTTTTTTTTTAGTTTCTAGAATTTTTCAGTTAGGTACGATAGAGGGAGCATCATAAATGTTCAACTTAAGAGTTTAATTCGAGAATTTTTCCTGGTTGTAACCTTGTTGGGCAAACTTCATTCGCAGCGACACGCGGCGCAGCATGGAATGACTCGGAACGTCGCGGTCGCGTTGCGGTTTTTTTTTTTTGACTCAGGGCGTCGCGGCCGTGTTGCGGTTTATTTTTTACTCAGGGCGTCGCGGCCGCGTTGCGGTTTATTTTTGGCCCAGAGCGTCGCGGTCGCGTTGTGGTTTATTTTTGACTCGGAGCGTCGCGGTCGCGTTGCGGATTGACCCTTTGTGAGTATGAATTTTTAATGTGACTTTTTCAAAGGGATAAGTTGTCTGTTGTTTTTTGTTGGAATCTTTCTTTTGAATTTCTTTAAATTCGCAAGAGTATGCCAGATAAAGAGAGCGCAGACGGTCAGACAGTTTCCAGTCGCGGTGAATGGAGTATACTGTCCAACAGCCTTTTTTTTCGTAAACCCGATTTTTAGGCTTTGCCTTCAACAAGGTTCACAAGATCAAAAAGAAAATCTATAAAATGAGAATTTTCAAGACTCCTAGAAATATTCAGTTGAGAATCACCATTTTTTTTTATAACCAGACAGGGTAATATACTATTCCCTTCTAACTAATCCAGTCTTCCCAAAGATGACTAATAACCTCTTGGGAAAAAAAAGAGACGATTTCTCAAACGATCTAATTTGAGGCAGATGTTCGTGGCGTTTGCCACGCCACGAGCCACCCGTGTACTATTTTTAAAGCTTGTTTTTTTTCCCGGGGCTCTTTAAATATTTAATGTGCTGTGTTGTGTTGTTGTTTCAGAAGCTTGTTCATACGTTCGCGTAATTTTTCTCGGTTATGAAAAATCCAAAATTTTAAAAAGTTGACAAAAAAAGCACGAACCTCCCTACCCCCCTTGGAAGTGCTCTTCCTGAACTTTTCAGTTCTAGCTTTTCTTGTTTGGAATCTTGTGCAATCGACTTTCATTGAGTTAACTGTGTTTAAACGGCGGCAGGAGCTGTGGGTTAGGCAGAGAAGTTGTGAATCTCGCTCGTAGAACATCAGGTACAAGAGAGGTCGTAGGAAGAAGTACGGTGCCGGCTTTCCAAAGGCCGATGGCAGAGAATGAGTCTTTTCGCTGCATGCAGCTCCCAATTTCATCTACCCCGGAGGGATGAAAGGTTTGGTCGACCTCGGGGGGACTCGAACCTACGACCTTGCGGACGTTAGAAATGAGTTATGCCAGCTGAGCTATGCCGCCCCTTTTATAGTCTTTTTTATACCTTTAAAATTTTTTTTCCAAGTGTTTTGAATAAGAATTCAGTTTAGAAAAAATGAAGATTCGCTGAATTTTCTCCGGAAAATCTGACCTTTTTTCGTAATAATTTTTCTCAGGCGTCATAACTTTCATCATAGTTCAAAAGAACTTGTTGAAAAAAATCCATTTTTTTCTTTTTTTATTTTTTTTTGTAAATAACCAATTCCGCATACATCTTTTTTTACAGATTTGATGTCAAAACTCCACTTTTTCGCTTCTGTTTTTTTGCCGTTTTAACGTCGGTACAGGCCCAAACGCCCAAGTTCAACTGCGAGTCGGAACTGTGCGAAATTTCCAAGAATTGGACTCGACAAGGTGGCTTCTAACATTTCTTGTGATGACTTTGAAAAAAAAAATTAAAAATTCAACATTTATTACTAGTCTTTTGATCTTTAAAATGCTAAATAAAATTTCCTGGCGCGATAAGCGAGATAGCGTGTAAAAACGAGAGATTTTTACAGTAAGCCATGCCAATTTTTTTTTAAAAAATCACTTATAACCAACCTGATCATAAGAGTAACTTCAAAAAACACGCTCTAACCAGTTTTTCGAGCTTCTCCCAACAACAATATTGTCTCTTTATTTGAACGGACACTTTTCAAAGATCTCTGTTGTATATTTTCGTGTGTTCCCACCGCTTTTCTTGTCTCCTTGTTTAAAAGTTTCTATTTTCACACAGTATTTGCCGAGTTAAATAAGTCTTTTCTTGAGGTGTTAAAAAAAACATATTGCCGTCTGCGGAAGGAACAAGGCAAACAGTAGAGGTTTTCTGGAAAAGAAAGGAAAATTAGGAAATAAGAAGTGAGAGATTGATTTTTCTGTTTTTTTCTTTCTACAGGGGTTCTGAAAAATTTCCAGATTTTTTTTTGAACGTGGACCGAGATAATAGCCGCACTTAAGAACTCTAGAGTGGTCCCTATGAATACGAAATTCAAGTGGGCCTTATAGGGTTTTTGGGTCTGACTCCTCAACCTCTAAAGCTCAAGGGGTCCCTATAGTGATTGGGGAAAAAGGACCCCTATAGGGGCGAAAACTGTTGCCTATAGGGGTAAAACTCAGGTGGCCCTAAAAGTCTCTACAGAAAACAGGAAAGTGTTCCCTAGAAGGGACCCTCAAGGAGGCCCACCAGATCCCATAAGGTTGCCCCTATATGGACCACTCTGGAGCTCCTAAGCACGGCGTATCGCATAGAGGCAAAATTAGAAAATGTGTTCTATAAAGATACTTCTGAGCGATTTCTTCAGAGTAGCCACTTAAGGAGAAAAGAATATGATTCCTCAATCAATCGATTGAAATCTCGACTTACGATTATATTGCAAATTAAATGGTCTAGGACCCATTTGCTCAAAATAAAAATTTTATGTTGAGCATAATAAAAGAGAACTCTCTTTTCTCAAAATTAGTGTTGCTCTAGAAAATTCTCATCTGCCAACTTTGATCTCCAATTTCTGCTCTTCTGCTCCATTGAGCACCCAAAAAAAAAAATCTCTTTTGACGGTTCATTCCTGTTTTGCCGAGGTACAGACTGAACCGAAGCAAATATTTGAATCCCAACTTTTTGTTTACAACTTGTTCAGGACATTGTGTACAAACATTTACCTTTTTTAAAAGTCAAGAAAGTAAAATCTCACCTATTACTAATGATTATAACTTGAGAATGTGCTATTACTTATGATTATGAATTGAGAATGTGCTATAGCCGATTCACGGCTGGCTTGAGCCATCGAAAAAAGGGTCCTGACACGATAATGCAAGAGATAGTACCTGGCTTGTGGAGAGCCCAGACAGGACACTCCCTCTTAGCGTCACAAGCTAGCCGTGAATCGGCTATACAGTCATTTTTTCCCGATTTTAAGTGCAATTTGGGCAGATTGTCAAGGGTGAAGCGTTGCGTGTGCGACGCGGCTTTTGGCGGGAACTTTCAATAGCGTTCATGGAAAAATGCAGAAAAAAAATCAAACTTTTTATTGTTTTTATACTTTCATACGTTCAATTGAATCTTTCAAATCTTATAAAATATTAAACTTTATTGGAAAATAGTCGAAAAAAGGAAAAAGGGACTCGAATTCCCCGGCAAAAAGCCGCGTCGCGTACGCAACGCGTCACCATTGCTAATCTACCCATCTCACTTTTCAAGTCCAAAAAGAATGATTAAAAAAAAGTCGAAAAATTATTAAAACCGAGAAAAAACTTATCAGAGTCCTGTGAATACGTAAAATGCAACAGTGGAGCCTGCGAAGGCGGCGGCTACCTTCTATGGTCACGTTACGTGAAATGCTCAATTTCCACTCCAGTCCGGGTACGTTTAAAAATAGTACGCTATAGTTCAAGTTTAAAGAAACGAGGGAAAAAAGCGCAATTTCTCACGGCTCAGTTATGTGTTGTTGGAGTCCGCGGAACGTCAAAAGCCGCAAAATTTATGGGTCCATGGCTATTAGCCTGTGAGGGTGGAAGCAATAAAATAAAAATTGAGGAGCATGAGGAAGGCTGGAGCTTCAATTTTTTTGGAAAAGTGACTGGCTATTCGAAATCAAAAAATAGCTCTATCAACAACACAAAAAAATCAAAAAAAGGAAAAAAAAATCGTAAAAAATTCTTCCCGATCTCACGATTCATAATGCTTGCTGTATATTAAAAATAAAATAAAACCATTTTTTTTCGATTTCTGTTCAATTACAGGTGATTCTGATAATACTAGCCGTTTTCTGGATGTTAATACTGTTCTTGACGATAAGTTTCGTGGCCGACGATTTTTTCTCGCCTGCCGTTGACGGAATCGTCAGCCATCTTCGCATTAGTGACACAGTCGCTGTGGGTTTGAAATTCATTTTTGGAACTAGTGGGAAAATTTTTAGTGGCCCTTAGAGGGTTCTGACGTTTCGCCACTATAGTGGTCAAATTAGTGGCCACTTAAGGTATTAAAAATTAGTGGCGACTATAGAGGTCCAAGTGTTACTATGAACGAGATACTGAATGAAAAACTACTGAAGTGGCCACTAAAACGGAAAATAGTGGCTACTCTAGAGGTGGGTTTCGTGTCCTCTCCAAGTCTCTATAGGGGCCACAAAAATTTTCCCAGTATGCCAGAAAAAGAAAGGAAGCCTTCTACATTCCGAAAGTTGCTCAACAATATTTCCAGGGAGTAACGTTAATGGCGTTCGGCAACGGCGCTCCAGACGTTTTCGGGTCGATCGCCTCAGTTCTAAACAGCCCACAGCCAAAAGCCGATTTGGCCTTGGGGCAACTTTTCGGTAAACTATTCAGCTTTCCATATTCGATTTTCTTTGCAGGCGGTGGCCTCTGTATTATATCCATTGTGCTAGCTTCAATAATAATTACCAAGCCGTTTAAATCAGCGGTAAGTTAATCGATAATTTGGATTTTTAAAATATTCTTGATATTGTTAAGCAATCAATCTGTGAGTAAGGTCCAAAGCTCTCAGAAAAAATTACCAAACCAAGTAAATATGCAATCAATTCAAACTTAAATTCAATTCCAAGGTATTCGGCCCGATCCGGGACGTTCTATTCTACCTTATCGCCCTCGGATTTTCACTCTTTTGCTTTCTTTACACCGACAGAATGCCTCTTTGGATGCCTCTTGGTGACTTCCTTCTAGAGTAAAAGGAAAAATGAAAAGTTCAGGTTTCCTTGTAATCTATTTTCTGTACGTTCTGACTGTTATCGTGCTCCAAGTGCTCATTATCAATCGATACAAGAGGAAAAAAGCTCGGAAGGCATTGAAAACGGCCAGCGACACAGTGGTTGCAATTGCCATTGATCAGAGTATTTTTTGAGCGGTGCAAAAAATCGAAAAGCCTTTTTTTTCAGACAAACTCGTTTCTTTAGAGAGGTTGCCACAGGTTTTGAGGAGGATTCGAGGTATGAATTCCTGTTTTTTGAAAAGAATTTCTCGGGCAAAGTCGGAATGGTGGATAATGACCGTTAAAAGGGAGAGGCTCAAAAAAGGCAACAAAAAGAGTCCCTTTATAGTTTATTTTAGTAGTATAGGTATGAGGGATTATAATACCGTTTTCGACATTTCAGTCATTTCAACACATTTTCATTCTCTGACTGCAGAGAATTACCTCATTTACAACACTTTTTTCGTAAAAAGCGTGAAATGAGTCAATTTTTGGAGAACTAAAAAGTGCTTATTTTCAATAAATTTTATACATTTTCGATCAATTTTTTTGCTTGGATGTTGATTTTATTTTCTATTTCTCATTTTCATGCTTAAATGCTCGAAAATGTATCACTTCCTCACTTTTTAGAAAATCAGTGGATGTCGATGGATGTCGATTTTATTGAAAAAGTGGTATCGTCATTTTTTCAATAAAATTAATGTTCAATAAATGGTGAAGCTAGAAAAAAATTTGAAACCTCTGACAAATCTAGATCTACTAGAATTGGTAGACTCTTTGGGAATCAAGAATTTCCGTGGTGTTTTTATGCGAAATACTTTACCTTCTAAGATTGGTGAAAAAGAAGTTGGTATCATAAATCTGGATTCTTCTAGTGGTAAAGGTACTCATTGGGTATGTTACTCCAAGAACAATAAAAACATTTATTATTTTGATTCCTTTGGATTAGATCCACCTTTAGAACTTCAAGAATATTTAAAAAATGGGGAAGATAAAAAAATAGAATTATCAACTTTCCAAATTCAAGAATTTGGAACACATCATTGTGGTTATTATTGTCTACTCCTTCTAAAATTGTTAGACTCTCATGCTTATCAAAAGTCAGTAATTGGTCTGATGTGAATGCCATCATCCATTACAACACCTTTTGGATACACCGGAGATAAGCCAGTTTTTAGTCAATTCATAAGTCTTCATCGTTTTATCAATAAATCTGAATCCTTTATTTTTCACCAATAATTAATTCATTATTCATTAGGCAATCGAGGTATTTCTCTTTTGTCAAGATATCGCTATTTCTACCTTTTTTTGAATACCTTTAGCAGAAAAATTTATCCTCTTTTTCCGCCCCAAACAAAGTAAGTCTTACTATTCAAAGCAACCATTCCATCACCTTCTTTTTCAACTTTAAATAATCCAGGTGTTCTTTTATCGTATGCTTTGAAATCTTCTCTAGGAAAAAAATTATGTTTTATCTTCTCGTATTCTTCTCTCAAATGTGGTTTAATCAGACTTTCAAAATCTCCAGCAAGAGCCATATATGCTGAATCTGTATCCATTTCTAAAAGCTGTCGATTTACCCTATCTATAAAATAATCAATCAGATCATAATTGAACTGTAACATTCTCAACTTAGAATCGTCATACACACTACAAGCAATTTGAATTGGCATGTTTTGTTTAACTTTTTTCGACTTTTTAACAACTTCGTAAACTTTTTTAACTTCGTCATTTTCATATGCATCATATTCTT